AAGCAGCCGGTCCACCTCATCCCGGTAGGCAGACTCATCTCCTTCGGAGATAAGCCCCCCCCCTGTTGTATCATCTGCAAATTTAATGATAATATTGCTGAAGTGAGTGGGGGTACAGTCATATGTATAAAGAGTGTAAATTTCTAAATTTCTAATACCAAAATAAGCAAGCATTCATTTTAGTTGCTAAAGTGTTATACTTGGGTTATACAGTTGATCCTTATTATTCATGGATTCCTTATTTGCGAATTCACCTACTCACTAACATTTGTAACCCCAAAATCAATACCTGTGGCACTTTTGCAGTCATTCAGACATGTGCAGAGCAGCAAAAACATTGAATTGCCCAATACCCACATTCCCAGCTAAAGTCGAACAAGTCAATGCTCTTTCTTGTTTCTGTTCTCCTTCTATAAACAAATGTCCTACATTTCCCTAGAAGCAACCGTTCAGTATTTGCTAATTCAATATTCACAGCGTATTTATAGAATATAGCTACCATAAATAATGAGGATCAATTGTACTTTGTTTTGCCCTGTCCTTGGTGAGACATCTGTGCAAAGTAGAATGATTGACAATGATTTCTCATCATCAATCCAAAAACCTTGGGAAACAGATACTCCTTACCTTAAACTTTCCAATCGTCTCATCACCACAATATAAACAAATACTTCTTAAGCTTGATGGTCTCATTTCTGGCAGAACTAGACCAAGCATTGTAAGTGCAGGATAAGATGAATTTGTCTTTGGCAAACTCCAGTGAGATGAGACCATCTGAAATGGGTGTGAGTTATGGTGATTTAGAGCCAGTATAGGCTATTCAAAAACCATGGGATGGGAATTCAATATAGACTAGTCAAAAACCATGAAATGCAGACCCATGGGATGGTGGAGCATGTGTGCTTGCTGGCTTTGAAGTGGTCTACCCACCATTATCTCTTTGGGGTTCTCTAACTTGCAGAAGGGACAGAAGATCTTTCTTTCTTTGTCCTACTGTATTCTTCAATATTCTTCAATATTCTTTGATTTCTGAATATTCCTTAATTGCTATCTTAGGTTATACTATATTCTTCAGTATTCATGAATATTCTTTGACTACTGTCTCATGTTTTTCTACCTTGGAATAAAGCCTTCAGTACTGATACTGTGTGGTCATTGCTTCTGAATCCAAAAGAACCTGTGACTTAACCCTGCTGGCAGAGCAATATACCAAGCCACCACTTAAATGTGAGGTTTGTTTTAAAGTGTTCACATTAATTTATAGATGCACACCCTAAAGGATCAGCATTTTAAATTAGTACACATTTATAAGGCTGCCAATTCCAGTTCTGCAAATAATATAAGAGGTAAAATTGAACTAGTTTCAAATATAACAATAATTGGACTGTATATAATAGTTTAAATATTTAATTTCCATTTGTTTCTTGTTAGTAAACTTAAATGTTTAAGAATGTAATAGTATATCAATGTAATGTAACTGATTTTGTTGTATGTTGTATCAACTGTTAAAAGAGAAAATTTGACATATAAATGATATAAAAAAATTTATTCACATAATTTACATATATAATAAGCCTGCTTTCTTTGAAACAGAAAGCTTTCACATGAACATTACATACCACTAAAAATATGTATCAAACCTTTCAGGAAGGCAATCCTTTTTCACATGTTAATAATAATTAGATGTTCTGTCAATTAACCCAGGTTATTTGTCTTTCTGTCATCAGCAAATATATAGTTCTTGCTATAAAGAAACCTGCATGTTTTAAATAATTTTGTAAAAATAGCCAAGAAAACATAGTTTATAATAAAAATTAAAAGGATCTTCTTGTCCTTTCCACTTAGCAAGGAAAGATAAGGCACCTTATAGTTTAGTTAGTTTAATAGGATTTTTGAAAGCTAAACTTCTTTTGCATTGAAATTTAAAATTATTACACCAAATTATGGTGGATTTTTGAGGATGCATTATACGTACTTCTTCCATGCATTAATATGAATACACACTTCTCCATGGTGAAACTGATTTGGGTTAATTGTTACCACAGAATATTTGTAATGTTTATTTGGATCCATTGATCTATATTTACCTTTGATAAATAACTAAGGTTTTTTATTTAACTTCCTGGCAACACTGCAAATTAAAATAGGAAGCAAAAATTTAGATCAGTCAAATCAATATAGAATTGTTAAGCCTGATAGACTACTAAGTTTGTTATTAATAACTAGAATACACTTGCATATCTTTAGAATAGAGCCAGTGAAATGAACTGGACTTTGGTCATGACTAATATTAATTTAAATGGGTCTATTGTAATTTTTTAAAGTCTAGATCCAACCAATTGTCTATGTCTGAATTTTTAAAAATACTAATGCCTTTCATATCAAATTCAGTACTATTAGTAATGTCTGCCTACAGTGACATATGTACAGAATAAGAAACAGAAGTAGCTTCTTAATTATTCAAAATGGTATACACTAACAATTGCAGATGAAGACAATTATTTTATAGATATTGCATAGATCAACAAATATCTATAGAAAAAAATCTCTCCAATCACTAACAGCAGTGGAAAAGACAATCAGAATTTAGGATCCAATCACTAATCCAAAAGAAAGTTATTTTACAGGATTCCTTTTTTCAGTCTGAATCATACTATGGATCTAAAAAAAAACAATGACAAATGGAATATGTGTATATCTTGAGTTACTGAACCTGTAACTCAGAACAATAAGAAATAAAACTTAATTACTTAAAGTGGAAAAGAACCACATTTTTTATGATATTGGGTCAACTCAATATGATACTTGTATGCTGCCTAGAGTCACTTGGATAAAGGGAGATGGGCAGCCAATAAATTCAGTAAATAAATAAAATAAACTCTTACTCTCTCATACACTTGATTTTAACTTCCAATTTCTCCTTTTCAGTGGTATAATTGGGTTTAAAAATGGCAGTTCATTGTTTCATGTAAAATTTAGCACATACAAAGTTCTTATATCTTCAGGATGAACAGAATTAACACAGAATAATTATTTTTCTATACATTCAACTTAAATAAATATCTTTTTCACATTTATCTCTACATTTAAAGAAATTAAACATTATTTTTGAACCAATTCACATATGTTCATTATAAAAATACATAAAAATAAGTTGACTTCAGATTTCTTTATGTACTTGGTACGTTGAAATATCCAGGATTTGCTTATTTACAGAGATAATATTCTCATTTCCATAAAGATTTACTTCACAAAAAGAAGTAAATATTATTTACATAAGCATTATATTTAAGTGGCATGCGACCATACTGATATTCCTTATTGTATTTCTAAATATTTCTAAATATGTATGTTTAGAAATTATCTGTAACATAATCAAAACACAGATTGGCAGCTTTTCTGATCATGTACATCTTGACATTTAACATACTTTTTCATCAATGTTTCCAAACATTCAAACAGCAGGCTGCTCAGAATAAAAGAAAATATTTCTGTCATTCAGCAAGTTTACTCTTCATACATTAAAGGTGAAATCATTTGATTAATTAAAGGTATTACACTGCTGCTAGTCAGGATTCTTAGAAACCAGGCATCTCATAATCTTCAGGGTTATTCTGAATCATCCACCTCCATAAAAATATCACTAAAGAAATATTCTGAGATCCTTGTTGGCTCTTCTTTTTCTTGCTCCTTAGCAGAACCCTCTTCCTCAGATAACTCAGGAAAAACCTAAAAAAATAAATAAATTACAGTCTGATGTCTGTTTAATATTTGTCTAAAAGTATTATATGCAGGAATACTAAGTGGCTTGAACAAGTCACATAGAAGTAAAGGCAATTTTGCTTAGGTTTTACAATATGATTTTCTGTACAAATCATCCTGCAATATCCACCTTATACAATTAATCAAAGGTTTGAATCCAGAAATATTTTTCTGTTCACCAGTGAAGTCTTTCTCTGAAGGCTGAAAGCATTCCACTGAAAGTCTTCTGGAGAATCTGATGCAGATAATTAAGATAGCAAAAGGAAATTGACAACAATTGGTTCTCAACTGTCTGGTACTATTAACAGATCATGTTCCTCATAAATATATTCATCCATACCTGAACATTAGAACAGCTTCCACTCTCATATTTTGGAGGTGATAACATGGTTGACGGAAGTGAACTATACTCCTGAATCTCTCTGTTGTTGTCTTTGGAAGTTGAAGCTGGACATTCAGCGGTATTTTCAGAGATCAATGTACAGGTTTTCTGAAGAGATTTGTTATTCTCTTTAGCAGTTACCTCTTCATCAGCATTAATTTTACAGATTAAAGGTAGAAATCCCAAAGATCTTTGATATGACCTATTTAAAACAATTAAAATTAACCTAAGACAAAATGTAGTAAATCAGTAAAATTACAGTATAAAAATAGCCCAAGAGATTCCCTGAATTTGATTATTGATTTGTGATCCCCTGAAATTGACTATTTAAAAAATACATACATTTCCCATAGATCTGGATCAACTATTATGCTATTTACGTTAACAGTAGGGAGATGGCAAATTTAGACGTCCTTTAGTAGCATACACAAACTGATATTATGTATAAGTAAATGAAAGTATACAGTACTATTGTTTGGTTGGGGTAGCAGTAAGTCAGAAAGCAAAGATCTTAGTGAAACAGTTTTAATTAACAAATATGGTTGGAAAAAATAGGAAATTTTAGAATCGATATAAGATTTTTCTTTTAAACAGAGCAGTGGTTAATTTAGGCTGAGCAGTTATAAATTAATGGTTCTGAGTTTTCTCCCTTCATTACAAATATTGAATAAAAGATTGTAGGATCAGGAAAAGATATAGTAAAAACAATGCTTGAAACATACCTGGGTAATAGTGTTTTTGAAAGGACTTCTCCATTTCCAGCTTGGTCTGATTGTACAGAACTGTAACTATCTACAAAGAGTCTTTGTTCTTTGCATGTTTCTGCTTGTCCTGCACCAAGCGTTCCTGACATGAGTCCAGCCTCACTAGCTGCTTCATCGAGGAACACAGCCCCTGAATTCAGAGAAGGCTGCTCTCCTTCCTCTGCTTGTAGCTCTGTAGGTGAAATTATTTTCTTTGAAAAATTATGTTTTTCTGAGTTTTTTTCTTAAAATGAAAGAAATAGACATGGCTAAACAAGAAGAAATGGAGACTACTTTGGGACCTGTTGCAAATTAATTTTATTTTACTATTTGCAAGCAAGCCATGTCTCTTTTGTCCATAGATACACATTCTTCCAATTACATAATCTTTAGCATTCATTTATGCCCCAAGCCCAACTAGATCTGTGATGCCAAAGGCAGCTTTTTATATTATATTTTCAAACACCATCTTCACAAGTCTGTGCCAAGTTAAAACTGCTCTGAAAGGGATGGAATAAAAGGGTGCATTTCAAAAGGCCCAGTTCTTTGAAATTCTCCATCACATCCATACAGGATATGACCTTTATAAACAATTACTATGCAAAGATTCATATGTGTCATGCCTTTGCGTGTGAAAACAAAAGGAACCTCGCTTACCAGCAGCCGTTCTTGAAATATGCTGTAATTTATCAGAGGTCCCCTGCATTAAAAAAAGAATATGAACATTGGTAAATAATTTCCTTTTTAGTCACATGACTCGAAAGCCCAATACAGTGAGTTATTTTAACGTGCTTCAATTTGTAAAATCATGGTTTGGAGTTTAAGCTGCCTAATGATCAAATCTGAAGTGGGGGTAAGAGCCAGCATGAAGGGTTAGCTGCTGACAGCCCATCCCTCCAGCAGAACCCAGCATCAGTTTCCTACACATGAAGTCCTACCTGCTTTCCACATGCAATTCAACCACAGCTATATTCAGCCTCCAGGATGAGCAGCAGCATACAGAACATAAGGACTTAAAGTAAGTGGAACAAAAGAGGACCAAGCATCACTTCTGCTGCATAGTAAGTTCTTTGCCGGGATGCGCTAGCTAAAGCTGAGGGCATTCAATACAAGGTCTGCTGCTGACTGCCGGTTGTACACATAAATTTTATTTATTTGCTTTTCAGATGTATAGGGCCCCTTGGCTCCATAACAATTATGGGTAGTGTACAACATCAAAAACAGCATAGAACAATATAATCAAGAAGGATACACCCATATAGCTGCAGCTGGGGGGTGGGGGCTATTTTGAAAATACATTTGTTATTTCAGAACCAGGAACTAACATGGCTGATTATTTGCACAAGCCTAAATAAGCTGTCTGTCAAGTTCCCAGAAAATCAAGCATGCAACTATTCATGTAGGCTTTCTGTGAGTTAATCACAACACACAAGACTTAGAAACGAACCTGTGTATCTGTAGTTGTCAACAGAATGTGGTACTAGAACAGAGTAGAATTTTCCCATATTTTTCTCATGTGTTATTCAAAATTATCTAGATCCAGTGACAACTGACAGACACAAATGATTTTGAACATCAATATTTTGCAATTCCCTGAATTAATATCTAACCTTATCAGAACTTTCCAGGTGTTCTTCTATAGGAGCAGTAGGTCTTATCTTCTCAGAAACACTACTTCCTTCTAGGGTTATTGAAGACCTTTTTGGATTCTTCCAAGAGGTCAAGTCCAAATCTGTTAAATCTTCTGATGAAGCTGTCTGCAGTCCTCTCTCTGTACTGTCCTTGACAGAAGCAGCACTTTCTTCAACTGAAGCTGTGATGGATCCAACACTATATTGTATTTTCATGATAAAATTATATTACTGAGATGTAAAGCTTACTTCAAAGTCTCATTAATAATAAAATGTTAACCTTAGAACTGATTCCACTGATATTAATTGGATTTTATTCCAAGTTACTACTGTGTTTGAATGGCTTTCTTTGTTGTGAGCCTACAGTAAAAAGTAACCTTTTGGGACCATGAGCATATACAGAATGTTGTTACTGTCTTGCAGATGCTTTCACAAAATAGCTGCCATAGCAGGTATGATAATAAAATGCCCATTCATGATGAGCTAAACTGGTAAGGCTGCTCCCTGCCACACTCTTACACTCTCAGAATAGTCTCTACAATATCTTTTTCATGTTATAGACTAGTAGGGACACTTTGAAACAAAACATGAAACTGCAGATATCCATTTTCCAAGAATATCTATGCTCCCAGAGATACTCTTAGAAGTAAAGACTGTAGATACTGGCATTTTTCAGCACAGCAGATTATTATTGATTGATTGATCATTAAAAGAACCTAAAAAAAATAAAGACTCTTCAGGACAGGAAACTAGGCAAGGATCATGAAAAGTCACCACAAGCACATTGGTGCTAATGGTTGCTGCTTCCTCTAGCCACAGAAAGTTATTTTATCCCTTTTTGCAGTGAATCTTATATTTCTCACCAGTGAATAATAGATAGTTCTAATGTACTTTGTTTACTTGCCTGCTTCAGGCTTGCGTGGCCACAAACAGGAATATAACAAAGCATATCCCCAAAGCATATCCCCCAAAACTTTCAAAATCAAGCAAGTCAGCTCTTTTCCAAAATATCATTTTCAAACATTTAAGTATGTATTTACTTCATTTAGAACAGTGTTTTTCAAACTTGGCAACTTTAAGATATGTGGACTTCAACTTCCAGAATTCCCTGGCCGGCATGTTGCCTGGAGAAATCTGGGAGTTGAAATCCACACATCTTAAAGTTGCCAAGTTTGAAAAACACTGATTTAGAATATACTGAAGTGCATTGTTATATCTCTTTCCAAGAGAAAAAATATTAAATTTAACATTCTGTCTATAGGCTTAAAGGCAAAGTTCCTTCTCTATTTTTTAGTTTGTCCCCAAAAAAGTACCTACCAGGATTAAATTAAAATCAGGCCTTCGACTTATACCTTGGCAACATGGTGAAGTAAGAATAAGTTTCATGTTTGCTTCCCAAGGTTAAGGGACTCTCATATGCTATCAAAGGACCCCTTTATTCAGTTGGCTTTGAAATACAGACTTTCTCATTCATTCATTCATTCATTCATTCATTCATTCATTCATTCATTCATTC